TTATTGTAGTACCTCCATGGGTGACTTTATGTTAGACTTTGATATTTAGGCATTTCAGTTATATTTCAGACATAAGAGACAGCATGTTCATAGGAATAAAGGCTCTGAAAGACAAAGCATGCTTGGGAAATAGCAAGTAATTCAGTAACTGTATCAGCAGGCCTTTGAAAGACATAGTGAGAGATAATGCAAGACAAATTCTGAAGAAATGTTTCTGAAGAAACAAAATTTTGAAGGACTCAGTGTATCACACTAAATCTACTACTATACATAACAATTTTCAATATTTTTCCCAGAAATCTTTCCCAATGTTTTCTAATTAACTTTTATAAATCTCCTGCTCTGTTATTTCCAATCCCATACTGGGAATAAAATTGTAATAACAATATTAGACCTGTATTGTTCATTTCAGAGTACTATTTTTCACCTCTTGTCATGATATTTCAATAAATATAAACCAAAACAAAATTTTAAATGATCTGCTTATCTTAAGATATATCTTATTTAGCAATCATTTATAATTTACTTTTTTAGATAAAATACCTATATCTATTTTATTTATCCTTTTGAATTATTAAATCAGAAATGACCACTTAATTCTTGACCATGCTCTTTCTTCACATGTACCTTCAACATGACTATTTTAAAACACAGATAGGGAATCAACTTTCACACATTTTACCTTTTACCTTTTAGTTATAACATGAGCATTTCTACAGACTATTAGATATTGATCTAAATTTGAATACATTTTCTTTTTACAAATTAAGATGATTATTTTATAAAAAGATGTAAGAGTGAATATTCTTTTTTCCTACAAACAAAAGTGCAACAAAGCAAGTGAAGTGTTCTAAGTTCCTAGTTTTTCCATACGTAAAATAGTAGATGTAGTAGAAAATGGGACAAGTCTTCATCATGACTGCATCAAACCAATACTACTCAGAGAAGGAATCTATCACTTGGTTTTCTTTGGATAATAAAATTCATTCTTCAGGCACAGGGCTGATGCAATTTTAACGTGCACTCCCTATAGAATTTCTTTCACGCCACTTTCCTCAGTCACTCATTCATTTACTTAGTAAATATCTATTGAGTGCCCACCACGTGCTTGGAAATATCAACAGACAAAACAAAGATCCCTGCCCTGGGAGCTAGTATCCTAAGATGGGGAGATAGAAAATACATAAAATACATAATAAGATAAAATGTTACTAATCTTAATAACCACTGCCTGGGATTAAGTGACAGCTGTGAAAAGTGCCTTAGTTCTTAGAGTTTGAAATATGATATCTCCTCAAACTGTAAATACAATTGCCCTTGAATGCTGAACTATAAATTCAACATATAAATGATATTCATAGTAATAAGCAGACGTACAGAAAATAGCAGGATGGCTCAGAGCTAGCAGGGATCTAATAAACTTTATATCCTATCAACAGCAGACAACCTTATCGGAGACGACATACCAGGTATTGTGTTAACAACTTTACATGCATTTTATTCTTTAAGAAAACATTTTTACAAAAATAAGTAGGTCCAATTACTATACCCATTCTACAGGAAAGGAAACAAAAACAGAGAAGATTCCCATACTAAAGAGCTTAAGAAGCGACTTCGATGGGGCTAGAAGCCAGATTATCCTGAAGGTACTAGACTTAGACTGTGACTAGAACGCAGTAATATATCTATTAAAAAAAACAACTACAACTGTACTAATCATAAAGAGACACTGGGAGCTACGGAGGAAGTTTTAAAAGGTGAAGTAACTATTGCAGTGCACATCTAAATGCTTTTTAGGAGAGAGCAAGCCTTAAACAAGGAAGTGAAAGTTCTATTCTCAAGAACATGCTAATGTATGGACAGTGCCTCAGGCTAATTTGATGTGATGAGAAATATTTGATTCATTTAATTAACTCTATTTGTTCTAATTTGCCTATCAATCAAACTTCTGATT